TTCTGCTCCTCCTTCTCCTCCCCCTCTTCCTCCTCCTCCTCTTCCTCCTCCTCCTCCTCCTCCTCCTCCTCCTCCGTTGTTCGACCCTGGGTCGCCACTGCTCGCATCTGTGAGCATCGCTGCATCACGGTCAGTGGCAAGGAATTCAACCACTTGCGTACGCGTCCCGTGGCATTGCCCGCCGCTGGGATTCCCAGGTGCGTCGGTGGAAAAATTGTGTGCGTATGCGTTGGCGGTGTCGCGCGCTTCCCGCTCCCGCTCGACCTGCACTACGCCGCGACGCCAAAAAAGAACGTGTGTGAGTGTGTGTGTGTGTGTGTGTGCGTGCGTGCGTGCGTGCGTGCGTGCGTGTGTGTGTGTGTGTGCGTGCTTTTGTATTTGCGGGTGTGTGTGTGTGTGTGTGTGTTTGTGTGTTTGCGTGTGTGAGCGAGTGTGTGTGTGTGTATGTGCGTGCGTGCATGCGTGCGTGCGCGCGTGCACCCTGAACCCTTAACCCTAAGCCCACGTGCGTCCGTGCGTGCGTGGGTGGGTGGGTGGGTGGGTGGGTGGGTGGGTGGGTGGGTGGGTGTGTGGGTGTGGGAGTGGGTGTGGGTGTGTGCTTGTGTGTGGGTGTGGGGGTGTGGGTGTGTGGGTGTGCGTGCATGCGTGCGTGCGTGCGTGCGTGTGTGGTTGTGTGTTTGTGTGTCTGGTTGTGTGTTTTGTTTGTTTGTGCGTGTGCGTGTGTTGTGCGTGTGTGTGTGTGTGTTTGAACCGTTGTGTGCGTTTGTGTGTGATCGTGTGTTCGTGGGTTTGGGTGGTCGTGTGCTGTGTGCGTGTGTGATTGTATGGTTGTGTGGCTGTGTCGTTGTGTGTGTGTGTCTGTGTATTTGGGGGTTGGTGTGGTTGTGTGCGTGCGTGGTTGCGTGGTCGTGTGATTATGTGTTTGTGTGTGGGCGGTTGAGTGATTGTGTGTGGCGTGGTTGTGCGGTTGTGTGGTCGTGGTTGTGTGGTTGCGAGGCTACGTGTTTGTGTGTGTGCGGTTGCGTGTGTGTGTTTGTGTGCGTGCGTGGTGGTGTGAGTGTGTGTGTATGTGTGTATATGTGTTTGTGTGTGTGCGCGTTTGTGTGATTGTGTGTGTGCTTAAGTGTTTGCATGTGTGGTTGTATGGTTGTGCGGGGTAGGTGCGTGGGTGTGTTTGTGCGTGGGTGTGTGGGTGGGCGGGGGTGGGCGGGTGGGTGGGGTTGGGTGGGGTTGGGTGGGGGTGGGTGGTGGTGGGGTGGGTGTGTGTGTGTGGGTGGGTGTGGGTAGCTGTGGGTGGGTGTGGGTGGGTGTGGGTGGGGGTTGGTGTGGGTGGGTGTGGGCGGGTGTGGGTGGGGTGTGGGTGAGTGTGGGTGGGTGTGTGTGGGTGCGGGAGGGTATGGGTGGGTGTGGGTGGCTGTGTGTGTGTGGGTGGGTGTTGGTGTGGGTGGGTGGGTGTGGGTGGTTGTGTGTGTGAGTGTGTGCGTGTGCGTGCCACAGTGGGTGGGAGTGTGTATGAGTGTTTGTGCGGGTGTGTGTGCGTGCGTGCATGCGTGCGTGCATGCATGCGTGCGTGCGTGAGTGCGCGGGTGTGTGGGTGTGAAGGGTGTGTGGGCGCGTGGGTGTGTGGGTGTTTGGGTGTGGGTGTGGGCGTATGGGTGTGTGGGCGTGTGGGTGTGTGTGCGTGTGGGGGTGTGGGCGTGTGTTGTGTGTGGTGATTGTGTGTTGTGTGTGTTGTGTGTTGTGTGGTGTGGGTTGTGTGGTGTGTGGGGTGTGCGTTGTGTGGTGTGTGTTGTGTGGTGTGTGTGGTGTGTGCTGTGTGCTGTGTGCTGTGTGCTGTGTGCTGTGGGCTGTGGGCTGTGTGTTGTGTGGTGTGTGGTGTGTTGTGTGTGGTGTGTGTTGTGTGCTGTGTGTTGTGTGGTGTGTGGTGTGTGGTGTGTGTGGTGTGTGTTGTGTGTGTGTGTCTGTCTGTGTGGCTGTGTGTGTGGGTGTGTGTTTGTGTGTTTCTGTGTGGGTGTGGGTGTGCACCTGACTGCACATGGACGCCGACTACTTTGAGTGCAGCCCGCCGTCGCTCTATCCGCTGACTGGCTTCTTCAGCGCGTCGGAAGAAACGTGCGTTGCTGGATCTCCACGAGGCTGCCAGTCGCCACGGCTGAGTTATCTTCGAAGTTCTGACCAGGACACCCCAGGACAGGACCTGGAGTCGATGCTTGATCGCAGCACGACCTTAAGATCCGACGTCAGGGAAAACATTCAACATCGAAGAAACACTGCCAGAGTCCTGGACCCTATCTTTCTGCTGCATGTGTTGAGCCAGGTCGATGCGTGAGGGCCCCGCGGCACGAAAGAGGGAGACACTGCCCATTGCAAACAGATGCGACGAATCAGATTTTGGGGTTGCGACGCCGTCCATGAGTCGAGCATCGCTTGGCACGTTCCTTGGCGTGTCCATTGGCACGTCCCCTCGTGGGAGCTACAGTGAAAAAGGCTGTCGGGCAGGGTCAGCGCAACAAGGAGGGGGGAGGGCGCCAGGCTGCCATTGAAGCCGAAGCTGGGGCTAGCAAGATCCAACCTCGCAATGGCCGTCTGAGGTTCCTCGGAGCCTGTAGCGTGTTTTTAGGGACCATCTTGGGGCTATCGTAAATGAATGTGGCGGACGCCTGGTGCTCCCTTGAGACTCGCGTCGGGGTCGGGGGTGAACTTTGGAGCGCGGAGTGGAGAGCGCGGCGCCGCCAGCACGTGGTGCCCTTGTTGAGGGAGCTGCTCCTGCTGGAGGGCAGTTTCGACGAGGACCCTCGCCCCCCAGGAGGAGGAGGAGGCGGAGAAGGAGGAGGAGGGGGAAGAGGAGACGGAGGAGGAGGAGGAAGAGGCGGGGGGAGGAGGAGGAGGAGGAGGAGGAGGAGGAGGAGAGGAGGAAGGAGGAGGAGAAGGAGAAGAAGAAGAGAAGAGAAGGAGGAGGAGGAGGAGGAGGGGAGGAGGGGGAGGAGGAAGAGGGAGGGGGGGAGGAGGAGGAGGAGGAGGAGGAGGAGGAGGAGGAGGAGGAGGAGGAGGAGGATTATGCCGGATTATGCTGATCGAACGAACACGATGCCCCATGGAATCGCGCCGCAGGTCATCCTGGCCGCATCGGGCCGTCCCCGAGCCGAGCCAGGATGCGGTGTCCTCTGAGGTCTAGCCTCAAAGGGGCTTTGTTGTGGTGGGGTGTGTACCTTGCCAACGCCTCTTCAGCCTACCCCCGATCACCAGTTGGGCCCCAGGGCAACATGGGGAAACTAGGCCCGACCACCTGCCGCGGGCGTACCTGGCACACCTACGACAGAACACGTACGATTGACGGAGCACCAGTTTATGCCCCGCTCCTACAGCTTTGTCGACCCTGACAGCACCCCAGTCCAGGAGGGCCCGTGGAGAGGGGGGGGGCCGCCAGGGGTGGGACAGGGGCCTCCTCGGCCCCTTCGCCCGCACCGCCAGCCGTCCCAGGAGGCCCAGGGAGGTCCAGGAGCTCCGAGACGGGATCGGGGGGACTCGAGTCCGTCGTTGGACTCGAGCCCTTCTCAGTGTCGACTATATCGCTGCCTACTACTCCTACATACCCTACGAATTCGAGAATAGCACGAACGAGCTTGAATCGATCGATCTACGCTTCTCTACACCACGGGGGATGGGTATGGTACAGCGCCCCCTGCTTAGCGTATTGATATGTTATCGTATTGCCCTCCCACCTCGCACGGCCGATGCTCTCGCGCTCTCTCTCTCTCTCTCTATCTCTTTCCCTCTCCCCCTCTCGGCCCGCGAAGCGTGAGCTTTTACTTTCCAGACATGCACATTGTGGCTCAGCCCGGCGAGAGGAGGAGGGAGGGGAGGAGGAAGGTAGGAGGAGGAGGAGGAGGAGGAGGAGGAGGGAGGGAGGAGGAGGAGGAGGAGGAGGAGGAGGAGGAGGAGGAGGAAGGAGGAGGAGGAGGAGGGAGGAGGAGGAGGAGGAGGAGGAGGAAGGAGGAGGAGGAGGAGGAGGAGGAGGAGGAGGGGAGGCGGAGAGGAGGAGGAGGAGGGGGAGGAGGAGGAGGAGGAGGAGCAGCAGCAGCAGCAGGGGCGGTAGAGGGAGGGGAGGAGAAGGAGGGAGGGAGGGAGGGAGGAGGGAGGAGAGAGGAGGGAGGAAGGAGGAAGCAGGAAGGAGGAAGGAGGAGGGAGGGAGGGAGGGAGGGAGGGAGGAGGAGGACGAGGAGGAGGACGAGGAGGACGAGGAGGAGGGGGAGGGGGAACGAGGACCAGTGTGAACCCCGGACACGTCAACGCTGTTGCAGTCGACCCGCCCTCCAGGCTCCCTGTTCATGGGGCCTTGCAAGAGCGTATGTTCGTTTCGGGGGAGTGCCCCATTGGAAAACAAGCGTCAGCGGATCCTCAAACGTGCCGAACACAAGTCCTGGGATGTCAGCGCCGCGAGGTAATTAATAGTTGCGCCGTGACGATCCTAAATCGTGCTAGAACACCGCCCCTGGGACTTCAACGCTTCGAACCAACTTGACTGTAGTGTCCTGACAATCCTACACCGTGCCAGAACACCGTTCCTGGGACTTCAACCATACGAAGCTGTGAAACTGTTGAAAGTTTTCAAGACGGATGTGCGCGGCGCGAATGCGAGAGCGACATGTTGAAAAGGTAATGTTCCTCCATGTTTGCAATTGGTGCTGACTTGTGAGACGATTGTGCGCGGAGTTACGGCGAGAGCCACATCTTGAAAACAGCCCGCCCTTCATCCGTGAAATTGGTGCAGGCTTCAAGTTTCAGTGCCATAAATGGTTAGGAGGTTTCTGGCGAAACGCCCTGCCCGCCCCACCGACACGTCTGCGGGTGCGGCAGGGAGGAGTTACTTATAAGAAAAAGGGCTGGAGGATGAGGGGAAGGAAGGGGAAGGGAAGAGGATGTACCTACAAGGAGTCATGTTCACTGAGGGAACTGCCCCGTTGGAAGACAACCGTCTGAAAATCTTGAGCCGTGCCAGATCACTATTCCTGGGACTCCAGCGCCGCGAATCAACGCTACTGTCACGTCCTGACGATCCGGAATCTTGGCAAAAATGCCCATCCGGGGACTTCAGCACCACGAACCAACGTGATTGCTGCGCCCCTGACAGTCCTGCACCGTGTCGAAACTCCAGTTTGGAGACGTCAGCCATAAGAATGCTGAAAACTGCTGTGCACCAGGCCTCGGAACAAATTAGCGAACACTCATGCCACATTCATCCGTCAACGCCTCCCCCTCCCCCCAATGTTCTCAAAGTTTGCGGTGGGTCTGATGAGATGCACTTCGACAGTGCCAACATTGAGTTTGGGGTGGAGGGGGAGTGTTCAGTAATTGTTTCCCTCTACCGACGTTTACATCGATTGCGCGCGGCGCTAAGGCGAGAGCCACGTCTTGAAGAGGCACCGCCCTTCACCTGCGAAGCTCTGGCAAGAGAAGTGCGCCCGGCGCGACTGCGAGAGCCACACGTTGAGAACGACCCGCCCTCCATCCGTGAAGCTCTTGCACGTGTCTGAGACGAGTGCGCGCGGCGTCAGGGCGGGAGCCGCACGGCCACAACAACCCGCCCTCCTTGTGCGCAAAGCACACTTCTGCAACATTCGGAACGACTGCGCGCGGCGCTGCGGCGAGAGCCACGGTGTGGACACACGACCCGCCCTCCAGCTGTGAGGCTGGTGCAAGCTTGAAGCTTTAGGATCCTATGAATGGTGAGGATGTCTCGGGTGAGACGCCCAGCCCGCCCGACCGCCACGCCTCGGGGTGCGACGGGGAGGAGTTGCCTGCAAAGGCAGGGGATGGAGGGCGATGGGGAGGAGGGAGGGGGAGGAAGGAGGAGGAGGAGGAGGAGGAGGAGGAGGGGAGGAGGAGGAGGAAGAGGAGGGCGATGGGGGAGGAGGAGGGGAGGAGGCAGAGGGGAGGGGAAGAGGGGAGGGGAAGGGAAGGGGAAGGGAGGAGGAGGGGAGGGGAAGGGGAAGGGGGGAGGCGTGGGGGGAGGGAAGGAGGGGGAGGAGGGGAGGAAAGGGGGGGGAGGGGAAGGGGAAGGGAGGAGGGGAAGGGGAGGGAGGGGGAGGGGGATGAGGGGGAGGAGGAAGGTGGCAGACGCCGAACGCGCACTACGAGCTCCACGCCGCTGCTCCTGCGGGCCCCTCGCACCCAGCAGCCCCACGTTCCCCGACCGAGTCCTCGTCCATGGTCCACCCTGCTCTCGTCCGGGCCCCTGCCCGTGGATCGCGCGCGGCCGCTCGCCGCGCCAGCCTCCCCCATGCCTCGCTGCGCCTCTCTGCTGCGACATACCGTGGGCTTGGCATCGCTCGGACGTGTGGTTTTTTCTTTCGGCGAGGACCATCGAGGAGCATCCTTGATCATTTAGCGAAAAAACCACGCACGAAACCGAAAAAAACACAGGGAATTGACGTCCGAGCGATGGCGAGTGGGAGGAGATGCCGGAGGAGTCGTGCAGGGGACGGTGGTTTTCGGGGGGGGGGGGGGGGGGGGGGCGTGGGCTCGGTCCGCTCTTGGCGAAGTAGTGTTTTTATTCGGCGGATCGACATTGGCCGATGGGGGGGGGAGGGGAGGGGGGAGATTTGGCTCCGGACCTCTGCTGAGTGCGACTGCTTGAAGCCGTGCGTCCTATGGGGGAGACCTCACCTGCTCGAAACAGGCGCCAACAAAACCAGCCAAGTGCGAAGGCCAGCCCCCCCACACTCCCCCCCTAACAAAAAAACGATCTTGGCTGGTTCTGACACTTGGTTCGGGCAGGTGGAGTCTCTGCTGCAGAACGCACGGTTGCAAGCAGTCGCATTAAGCAGAGAGGTCCAGAGCAAGACCCCCCTCCCCCCTTCCGCCCACTGTCGAAACGCCGAAGAAGAACGCGTTGACCTTGCACCCTAGCATTCCTCGAGCCGCGCACCTGGTAGCTCTGCTGCTGGCAACGGCCCAGCGGTGGGCGAAGTCGGCGGCGCTTGCCTCTACCAGTCGCTCCCGCTCTGGACCAAGCTCCTCGTCCCTGGTCTTTCTCGTGGCCGTGCTTCTCTTGTCTCTCCTGTTGTTTGTCTGCTGGTGCCTGGAGCTCTTGACCCTGCACTGTTCCTTGTATTCGGACCAGGGTGCATGTTTGTGTAGATGTTACGGTTTTCGAACCAGACCTGGCGCCCCGCACGGCGGTGCTGACGTCTGGTGCTGTTGGTGCTGTCGGCTCGGGCGGAGGAGGAAGAGGAGGAGGAGGAGGAGGAGGAGGAGAAGGAGGAAGAGGAGGAGGAGTCGGAGGAGGAAGAGGAGGAGGAGGAGGAGGAGGAGGAGAAGGAGGAAGAGGAGGAGGAGAGGGGAGGAGAGGGGTGAAGGGAGGGGGAGGGTTTGGAGGAGGAGGAGGAGGAGGATAGGAGGAGGAGGAGGAGGAGGACGAGGAGGGCATGGCAGGGGTATGGAGGGTATGGATGGAGGGTCGGAGAGGGAGGACGAGGAGGAGGGAGGGCATGGAGGGTATGGGGTATGGAGGAGGGACGAGGAGAGAGGAGGAGGATGATTAGGAGGAGGAGGAGGAGGAGGAGGAGGAGGAGGAGGAGGAGGAGGAGGAGGAGGGGAGGGAGAGGGAGGAGGAGGACCCCCCCCCTTCCTACGGGGAACGCGACCGCCCCTCCGCCCACTCCTGGCCCCCTCCTCCCGCGCTCCTGCCCCCCCCCTCGCCCGCCAGGACGGCCACGACTCCGCGCGCCCGCCGCTGCCCCCCTGCGCCAGCCCGGCCCACGCGCTCCGGGGGCTGCCGCCCGACACGCCGGTGCCGCGCGTGGCGGCATCCGTGGGCAGCGTCCTGGGCGCCAGGACTGCGCCGGCCGGGGGCCTGGCCGGCCGGCTAGCGGCGGCGGCGGTCGGCTATAGGCGTAGGCCTGCGGCTTCGCCGGAGTGGCCTCTGGTGCGGGCTCATCCTCGAGCTTCTTCTCGAGTTCTTGGCCTCCTCACCCTCCTCCTCCTCGTCCTCCTCCTACTCCTCCTGCTCCTCGAGCTTGTCCCCCTCATCCCCCTCTTTCGCTGCTCCTCGAACTCCTCCTCCTGCTCCTGCTCCTCCTCCTCCTCCTCCTCCTCCTCCTCCTCCTCCTCCTCCTTCTCCTCCTCCTCCTCCTCCTCCTCCTCCTCCTCCTCCTCCTCCTCCGTCTCATCATCTAGCTTTCGTGGCTCTTCGCCAGAGCGACCTTCAGTGCGGGCTCCTTAGGGTCCCCCGATCGCCAGGCGCGATGCGATAGTGGCGTCTCCGCGCGCTTGGACTTGGTCACCCCGCGGCTCCCCCAAAAAGCATGGCACGAAGGGTCACTCCTGCCCCGGGGCCACTCCCGCGTGTGGCCAAGCCGGCACGGCGGCGGCGGTCGTCGAGAGAGAGTCGAGCGCGGGTGCACGCCGTCGCGCGCGCTGGCCGTCCGTCGCCCCGCGTTCCGCTGCTCGACGACGACGGCGACGACGACGATGGCGACGACGCCGACGACGCCGACGGCGGCGGCGACGACGACGGCGGTGACGACGACGGCGGAGTGCGACTGCCCGAAACTGCGTGGTCGGACCTTCGTGTGGCGACGACGCCGCCGTCGCCGTCGCACCGTCGCATCCTGTGCTCTGCTCTTGCCGTGCCACCGTCTGCCGGCTTGCTCGTCCTGCTGCGCTGGCTCCGCGTGCGTTTGTTTCGGGCTTGCGCCGCCGCGGCCGGAGTCGTCTCTGCCTCCTGGGCCGAACATGCTGGGCCGAACCCTCGCTCCTTCGGCCTTCCTTAAGGCAGCACGGTGGTTGCATCACTTCTGCTGCTGCCATTCCCCCCTCTTCCCCTGCGAACCGACGTCGCAAAAACGATTACAACATCATATATAGGGAAGCTCGACTGGAGCCATGGCCCCCATCATTCAGCTGCAATTGTCAAGCCGGGTTGATCCGTGACTAGGCCCAGAACAAGGCAATATCGTTCGTTTTGCACACATTGCGACGCCAGGATCTCAGGGTCATCCCCTCCCCCCCCCTTTCACTCGCTACCCCTCCCCCGTCGCCGCCTGTTGCCACCGTCGTCGCAGGAGCCTGTCCGCAAGCCTGCAGCGCAGCAGCACCCGGCTGGCCCTGGAGGAGATGAACAGCTGCAAGAGGAGCTTCGTCGACAAGAAGGCCAGGGCTGTGAGGAGGAGGATCTGAGGATGAGGAGGAGGAGAGGAGGAGAAGAGGATGTAGAGGAGGAGAAGGATGATGAGGAGAGGACGAGGGGAGAAGGAGCAAGAGGAGAAGGAGGATGAGGACACCAGTAAAGGAGGAGGCATTGCATTACGACGATCGGCGCGCGCGGAAGAGGCATACGTTTGCAGCGGGCGTTGCCGCACCTCGTGGCGTGGTTGGGATCGACGGTGGAGGTCGGCAGGATCGGATGCAGCGCCAGAGCCGGCGCGTGGAGTGCCGGCGGCGGGGCTCGGGCGCTGCTCAGCGTGATCAGTCCGGGGGCGGAAAAGAGGGGAGTGATGACTGGGGGGGGTGGATATCGTGGCGTGGGCCATGGTATTTCCCCAGATTTCGTGGCGCCTCTTCTTGTTTCATTACGTCCCTGGCCCCCCCGCTGGGCCGCGCACATGCCGCCGGTCATGATTTGCACCCCCCCCTCTTGGACGCCCTCTTGGCCGCTCCCGATCAGTGATGTGGTGTTCGACGTTGGAGCCCGACGTCGTCTCTTTGTTCTAAGGCAGGTGGGGGGATGGGAAGAAGAGGGACGGGAGGGAGGGATGGAAGAGCGAAGGGCGAGGAGAGAGGTACGCTCCAAGAGGCGCCCAACTGTGGCTCCAGGGCTTGCGTGGTGCCATCCTGGGCCATGCCGCAAGCCTGGATCCGGAACCTCGCCCACGAGGCTTCGGAAAAGTCACGCTGCGAGCGCCTGAGAGCGCCCGAGGATTCCCGGACATCCGGAGGTTGGGCCCCTGAGAGTATGCACAATCTCCCACACAGGGACTTCTCAGGTTAAGTCGGGCCTGTCCCTCTACAGTGGGAACATTCAAAAATAGTATTACAAAAAACAAGAGTCTGGGGACGATTACTTGACTTTTGTTCAAGGGAGTATGTTTGGGGTATTCCTTATCTTTCGCTGAAAATCCGCCTGTAAGGGGACACGCCCGACCTGAGGAGACTCTACTCGGTGCCTCACGGCACCCTGGCGGATCCGGCCTTCTCCCTGCAGGTCGCCCGGAGAGGCGTCTCGAAGCTTAAGTCGGGCACGTTCCTCTACAGGAGGAATATTCAAAAAACAATGAAAAATAATATTGGGGCGATGTTTGCACGATTGTTTTTACTATGTTTTGAATTGTTTGGCTATTTTTCATTTGTCCTCCCAAATCCGCCTGTAGGAGGACATGCCCGACCTAACGCGAAGCCTTTAGGAACTCAGAGCCCTCATGCAGTCAACCCGCATTGTAAGAATGAGTGGTTTTCGGAGGTTACCCTTGCAGCCTTCGATCGTGCTGCCACCCATCGTGCACACAGTGGGCGTGAGACTGTCCTGGAATATCTCGCTGTACCGTCGTCCTGGTCGTGAACTGTGTCGGCCTCTTGGCTCTTTCCCCAAACCAACCGTGATATTCCAGGCACTGAACAGATTAGTAGTGACCACAAGCTCCCCTTCGGCCCATCCTTGGCCGCTTTCGCTGGCCGCGCCCCGCTCTGAAAGTGTCGACATGGCCTTCCAAGCCCCTCGTATCCTTAACGTGCGTCCTTGTAACACAGGTCTACTGTACGTGCCCATGCTTCTCCTCCTCCCCTCCCCCTCCATCCATCCTTTCCCTCCTCCAGCCGAAAAGGCTGGCTCCTCATCCCCTGCATGGTGATCAAGAGTCAGGAGGGGAAAACACACAGATACAGATAATCGTCGATCCCCTCGGAAATGTGGGAAATATTGGAAGTGGTGTGGAAGACGAAAGGCCAGATCAGATCGGCAAAGGTAGAGGATCTTGGGATGTATGTCTATTTCTGCGTGTCCCTGCGCCCCCTCAAAAAGGTCCCCTCCGATGGGTGCCGCCCTACGAAGCTCAGAGTCGACGAAGGAGATGCCCCTATCCCAGGACGCCGAAATGAGAGCTTCGCTGGGCTCACGGAGGGTTTTGGCTCCTTGGCCGCTCTCTGGATGTGTAGGCCGGGGAGCGTGCTCGTTGCCGAGGCCCGCCGTGGCTTGACGAGCCCCCCGCGTCCTTTACCGGGCGCTCCTCGTGAGAGCAGGACGACTGTAGATTTACGTCTGGTACGTCCCTCTCCAGGAGGGATCTTCAAAGATGGTGCAAAAAGTATGGGGACGAGCTGCTGCTACTATTGTTGGCCAGTTTCCAGTCGTGCCTGACCGGTGTCACGCTTCTTCCAGGACCCGCCTGTCGGAGGACATGCCCGACCTGACCGTGCATCTGTTGTACAGCAGGATGCCTTCTCGTTTCTGCTTGGCGCAGCCCACCCACCCCTCCTTCAATCGGGGGCGGAAAAGAGGGGGGTGATGACTAGGGAGGGGTGGATATCATGGCGGGGGCCATGATATCTCCCCTGATTTCATGGCGCCTCTTCTTATTTCATTACTTCCCTGGCCCCCCCGCTGGGCCGCGCACATGCCGCTGGTCATGATTTGCACCCCCCCCTCTTGGACACCCCCCTTCTTGGCCGCTCCCGATTCAAGTCGACTCTACACGTGAGCGTGGCGCTTCGCCGGATCGACCTTCGGTGCTGGCCCACTGGGGCCCCCCGATCGCCGAGCGCGGTGGGGCAGCAGCGGTCTGCGCGCGTGGGTCGGGTCTCCCCGTGCCCATGCAGAGTCAGGAGGGGAGCAAAAACACAAGGACACACTTACTCGTCGATCCCCTGGAAAATATATACGAAAATATGGGAAGTGGGGGGGAGACCCCAAACCCAGAAAATAAGTGAAACCATGGGGAATCCTTTGATTTGTGTCTATGTCTTTGTGTGTCCCAGGGCCCCTTCATAAAGCCGCGCACCACAGGTCACGCTTGCCTAGGAATGCCCGTTCGCAGCGTAGATCGAGCCAAGACCTCTGACGCGGCGTGAGTCATAATTGTCAGCACCATCATAGCGCTGCCATCGGGCTAGAGCACCTGCCCGGCGCGGCAGACACGAGTCACCATGCAGGCCGTGGGAAGTTCACACTGCATGTCCCTGATGCGCACATGCTTTTGGTCGTGGATCCAAGATGAATCACATTTGGCCCTCTTCACCGACATCTGTTCAGGAGGGATGGCGGCCCAGGCGCGTGCAATATAACCCGCATGCGCTTCCCACCCGCAGGTCACTCGCAGATTCTGTGCCATTCTTTCAGAAGGCACACGTGGTTTCCCTGACAGGCGCGTGCCAAAGACAAACACAGTTCTCAAGCGACGGAGCCTTGACAGTCACCAATACGCGCATCGGCAAGCTGAGTGTGGCAATGGCCCGCAGGAAAAGGGCGAGGCCCTTCACGCCGAACAGCCAGACAGGCGTGCACGTCGTGTCTGTACGGATGTATGCTGGCAGTGGCGTTCAAGTTCGTCCGTGAACACAGACGGGTCCGAAACCCCACAGTGGATTCAGATGGCGATGAGGAGCAACACGATACACATGGTAGACACACTTCGGCTGATGCTTGCTTTCGTTGTACGGTACTATGGAGGCTCACGGTAATGGCAGCCGCAAGTGGTCAGACAAGCTGTTGAGATGGCTGGAGGAATTGTTTCTTCAACTACCCTCCAGGCGCACTCCCATTTTCATGGTGGCCGGAAACTTCCACTGTGGCTACAGAAAGACCGGACACGACATCGACGGCATGACTGGAGGAAACGCGGCTGCCACTTTCATCCCGAGTTCTGAGTCTCCCACTTCCGCGTTGCGGCGCCAGGTTCCCAATATTCGCCACACGGCATTGGCGAACACCCCACGTCGAAGAAGGTGCAGGTAATTTCTGATAGTAGCAGCAATAAGACACGCGTCGACGACATAGGCATTCCCAATACGATGCTCTCGCAGGCCATCGAAATAGAGACGTGGTGCCGACTTGGGTTGAGATCTTCTTCCGCAGAGACGGCACGCTCCTTACGACGTCATGTGGGCCACCGCCCAGTTGCTCCTGATTTGCAGTATCAGCATTTGTTCGATGGGGCCCTGACTTGGCCAGATGGAATGCGGACAAGGTTTTGCAGATCTGCCTTCAGAAGCAACTTCAAGGACCTGCCCAGAATTTGAATCGAATGGTTCTCTCGGGTGAACAGCTTTCAACCCATGAATCATGTCGCGAAGCGCGAGGTGAACGGGCCGACCGAAATGGTGTCGTTCAGGCGCTCGACCATGCCGTCCGATTCGGACGTGTTGACGAGCGTTGGCAGCGTCGCTCTCAATACTTACAGGAACAAGGTCAGCGCTGCCATGCTCGCGCGCAACCGCTAGCGCACCGCACCTGGCCTCAGCCAGCTGACGCCCTTGCAGCGCGCGCGCGCGTTCGAAGGAAATCCGCTATTTTCTCTGACAGCACCGAGATGGCGATGCATTTGGAATTGCCGCTCTGGAACAGTTGCTTCAAGGGCTCGGTCGCCGTCTTTGGGGGCTTCGTCACATTGACTTCTGGAGGCTCGGGGACAGCTGGTCCGCTGAACTTCGGGATTCTGAATCACCGCCCACCAAACCACCCCAACCCAACCCGAAGGCCTTGATTTGCCCGAAATTTCAGGTGGGGGGGTCGGGGAACATTGAAGAAACACATGTGAAGCCTGCGCCCCCCAAACAGAAATTCGGGTCTTCGGGTTGGGTTGGGGTGGTCTGGTAGGTGGGCACTGAACAGCACGATTGGTAATTTTGCATGGACGCGCCGCAGATAAATCGCCGCCGCGAACCCGAGACAGAAAAACCGGAAGCACCTTCTTTGATCTCACCACTCATAGGTACGGAATGGATAGCACACGCGGGGCAGGACGGACCGAGAGGACGAACGCAGACGGAGGAGGTCTTCGGTGGAGCACGGAACGAATGGCTTCGCGCGCGCGAGCTTGCGCGTCAGATTTCACGGCTGGAAGCTGGTCGCGCTGATAAGATTTCGAATTTGCCGCGCAGAACATATCCTGGGGCTTCCGAGATGCCGAACGCACGCGCCACTGGAGGGGCGGCCGTCGGCCGACTACACGCCCTGGGCTGCGAAGCTCGCAGCAGAGCGAGCCGCGACCCGCAAGGAGGTGCCTCGCGCGGTTCTTCCTCGCGAGCTCTGGCCGCTGGCGTTAACCCGTCAGGATCAGGGGCAAGGGCCAGTCCGGCCTGGCGCTTTCTTTCAGCGCATGGTGAAGTTGATTTGTTGGGGGCCCCTGCTGAGAGAGCGATCCACGGCCTCGGCCCCGCGGACAAGACATGCCACGCAATCTTCAGCGGAAAAAAAAAAACGCCCCGATCCTTTTTTTACAAACAAAAAAACACATAATTCTACTGGTGCCAAAAATGCGCGACGACGAGAGCACTCGATCATCGCGATGCGCGCGATGCAAAATCGATTTAACAAACAGGGGGTGCTGGGTCGATGCGTTCTACGAGATGGCTAACGCGTTTGCCGCGACCGCCCATCGATGTCTGGATCGGACGATCGGCGGGGCACTCGGCCCCGACGAGGCGAGACTCGCATAACAACGACACCGACGAGTGACGACGTCTCTCGAAGCCGAAGATGGGGACTGGGCTCTAGTGGACCCCGCACGTGGGGAGATTTAGGGAGATCGTGCAGCGCCCGCTGGTTCCACGTGCTTGTGCGATCCGCGGATTCGGGGGCGGGCGGCGGCTGCGGCATCCGAGAGAGGCGCAGCAAGTCAGCGTCGCCGAGCCCGAGATGGGTGATATGGCCGACCCCTACTTCGCAAACATTGCAGATGATTGCGCGCGTCCAGGAGCTGCGGGCAGAGCGCGCCCTGACTTTGAAGCGCCTTTGAAGATCCAGCTGTGGGGCGGTCTGCTCCGGCATTACAGGGCGCCGCCGAGTTGTCCCAGAACGTGGGCGCACGAGAAATGACTCCGTCGCCACGGGAAGTCTCGCGAGCGCGCGTCTGCGCGGGGGGGGGGCTCAAGCCGTGGCGAGTTTCAACCACCTACGAAATTGAACCCGACATCGGGGGAGGGCTAAGCCATGGGCTCGCCATTCGGGAGGGTGACGCAACAGTGACGGGTGGACGTATCACGAGGGCGAACAACGTTTCCTACCAGCGCCATGGGGAAGTTCTGCACTGACGAGAAGAAACACCCAAAAGCCGCCCTACACTATGGCTCGGTGATCTTTATCATCTGGAGGAGCAGCACGTAATTGAACCAAGAAAGACCTGGGCACGGTTGGCAAATTCGAACAGGCCCACCTCATAGTGAACCTGCAGGGAAAAGCGCGCCACATGTTCGCGCGCGATGGACGGGGGGAAAAAACTCGCGCGTGGCCCACGGCGGACGCGCGGTGCGAGCTCCAGACCCCGACGTTCGAGAGTGCCCTCCTGTTACGTCGACTGCGGTGGCTCTGGTATATTGCCCGACGGCCGCAGGGAAACGCCGCTCCTCACCATCCCACTCGGAGACGAAGAACGGAATCAGCTACAAGAGTCGTGGCCACCACGTCTAGGGCGCAACCAGTTGCCGAGGAGTCTCTACTACGCTTTGGGGGCCTTGGTAAAGCCAGTCGCTCCTGCAGATAAGGAAGCCCTCAGGAGGAAAGAAACGCATGCGATGTTAGACGACGAGCGCGCCTCGCTTCTCAACACTTCCAAGGCTACAAGGGGGGGAAGGGCTTTGAACAGGGGGCCAGCCCCCCCTTTAAATGTAGGGGGGGTCGAAACAGAGAAGGAAGGCGCCCCCCCCTCTCTTCAAGCGGGCAGGGTTCGAAACAGGAACCCCCCCCGTGCAACCGACGACGGCGAGCGCCGGCGCAGGGGCAGCGACGACGACGACGACGACGACGACGACGACGACGACGACGACGACGACGACGACGACGACGACGACGACGGCGACGGCGACGACGACGACGACGACGACGACGACGACGACAACGGCGACCACGACAACGACCGCGACAACGACGAAGACGACGACGGCGACGACGACGACGACCGCGGCGGCGGCGGCGGCCGCGACGGCGGCGGTGACGACGACGACGACGACGATACCGACGACGATATTGACGACGCCCATGACGACGACGACGACGACGACGACGACGACGACAACGACGACCGCGGCGGCGGCGGCGGCGGCGACGACGGCGGCGACGACGACGACGACGACGGGCAGCGACGACAACGACGACGACGACGACGACGACGACGACGACGACGACGACGACGACGGTAACGATGACGCCAGCGACGACGACGACAACGACGACAACAACGACGACGAAAACGACGACGACGACGACGACGACGACGACGACGACGACGACGACGACGACGACGACGGCCCAAACGACGCCGACGCCGACGACGACGCGCACGCCGACGCCGACGCCGACGATGGCGACGCCGACGACGACGCCGACGCTCACGCCGACGCCGACGCCGACGACGACGACGACGACGACGACGACGGTGCCGCTCTGGCGACGAGGACGACGACGACGACGACGCCGACGCCGACGGCGAGGCCACCGCCACCGCCACCGCTGCCGCCGCCGCCGCCGCCGACGACGACGACGATGTTGACTACGATGCTGGCGACACCGATGACGACGACGATGCCGACGACGACGACGACGACGACAACGACGACGGTGACGATGACGCCAAGGACGACGCAAACCACGACGACGACGACGACGACGACGACGACGACGACGACGAGAGTGACGCCGCCAACGACGACGTCCATGACGACGACGACGACGACGACGACGACGACGACGACGACGACCACCACCACCACCACGACCACGACCACGACCACGACGACACGTTCGAGCCGCCCGAGAGGTCCACCGCCGCGGAGCCGCCATCTCCCCCGGCACCGGCCGATGCGGCCTCTGCGGGCACCCCCTTGGGCAGAAGCCGCCGCCCGCCGCCTTCGGCGGCGCCGGCGCCGGGCCCGCGGCAGAGCCCGCAGGCGCGGCCGAACGACGACACCGGCGACGGCGAGGACGACGACGGCGGCGACGACGGCCACGGCGGCGGCCGAGCGGCAGCGGCGGCGGCAGCGACGACGAGGACGACGACGACGACGACGACGACGAAGACGACGACGACGACGACGACGACGACGACCACGACGACGACGACGACGACGACGACGACGACGACGACGACGACGACGACACTGACGACCACAACGACCACAGCGACCACAACGACCACAACGACCACAACGACCACAACGACACCGCCGACCACGACGACCACGACGACCACGACCACGACCACGACCCCAACCACGACGACCACATCGATGAGGTGGAGGAGGAGGAGGACGATGACGAAGACGAAGACGACGACGACGACGACGACGACCCAGAGATCCTGACTCGGTCATCCTGCCTCGGGATGCGTTCCAGCGTTCCAGCAGCTGCGTCTCGCCGAGAGCTTTCCGGGGGTGCGTGGATCGCCCCGAACGGCCGCCAGAGAGCCGAGCTACGATGCGAAAACTTCAGGGTATGGGAATGACGACCACGACGGCGAGGAGGGCGACCCCAGACTTCCAACGCGCTGAGAACCCAGCTCCAAGGTGATGACGAAGTGCAATCCGACTTCTTGTTTGCAACCTGCAGCCGGGGCCTTGGCCGGGTCCCAGGACAGCCAGAAAACAACTCAGGGCGAGAAATTGACCACGGGGAAAGGGTCAGGACTTCTGGGGACTATGTTGAACAAAAATCAGGCTTTGGCGAAGCGTCCTGGCTCGCCTACAGGCCCACCAAAGAATGTTGTAAGAACCTTTTGTGGTCTGCACGAAATGGTCTTAGAACATTTCTGGCTGCGACTGTCTTGTTTCAGCACATCGGCTCAACGTTCTAAGAACACCATTTTGGTTATGAAAGCACTTTCGGGTTCTAAATTTGTTTCGTGGGAGGCCCATAGGAATGCTGGGACAGTCGGTCCCTGCTGACATGTTGAACAACAAACATCGGACGTTGGGGCCACCGACGACGGCGAAGAAGAGGACCGCGACGACGACCCTGAAGTCCTGGCGTCGCCTTTCTCCCAGCGGGCGATTCTTCTGCCCCCTTGCCTGGGCCCTGGGGCCCTCACGGATCGACGCTCCGTTCCAGCATGCCGCAGAGAGATGGTGTGCGAGGCTCCGGTCGTATTTCTTCCGATGCTCCAGGGGAGGAAGACGATGCCGACGGCGGCGAGGGCGGCGGCGACGGCGGCGAGGGCGGCGGCGACGGGGGCGGCGCCATCGGTTTCGGAGTATTTCGCGTGCTTTTTTTGTTCGGTTTCGTCGCGACTTGTGTTCGGCACCACACGAACATGCTCATATCAGATGCGGTGTGGCCACGCAGGGAGACGCACATGACTGGCGGGCGCGTTCTTGCCACGTCGCTCAGGGAACTCTGCTGTGAGGGCCTTCGGCCGGCGCGCCGCCGACCCTGAAGGCGGGACCTCCCCCAGGACCCCGGGGGTCCCCTTCGAGACCCCGGAGCCACGGCCGGGGCGGGTGCTTGGGTCGGGGCTACGGCCACGACCACGGCCTCGGCCACTGCCTCGGCATCGCTCGGACGTGTGCATTTTTCCCTCGGCGAGGACCATCGAGGAGCATCCTTGATCATTTGGCGAAAAAAACCACGCACAAAACCGGAAAAAAACACACAGGGAAAGGACGTCCGAGCGATGGCCGCTGCCAGGGTCGGGGCCGGGGCCGGGGCTCGGGCCGGGACCAGGGCCTCCGGTCCCCTCCCCCCCCATGGCAGGGGCAACCCCTCCACCCGCTGGAACCCGCCGGGACCCCCGGGGGGCGGCATTCCGACCTGAGACCCCCGCCCCTTCTACCGGTCCCCCCCCCCACCCCATTTCAGGGAAGGGAGCAAGGGAACGGAGCTGAGTTAACTACGACGCTTCTGTTCTGTGCTCCAGTGTTTCGCATTGTTATGTAGATTGGTTTGCATTGATACGCATGGTTTTGCATCATGATTCATTGCGCTGCGTTGCATTGCTCTGCATGGCAATACATTGCAATGCATTGTTTTGCATAACTTTGCGCGTTGCCTTGCAATGCATTGCCCGCTTTGCAATGCTTTGCATTGCTTTGCATTGCTTTGCTTTGCATTGCTTTTTTATGTATTCGTTTGCATTGATGTGTAGGGCTGTGACGACGACGACGACGACGACGACGACGACGACGACGACGGCGACGGCGACGACGACGGCGACGGCGATGGCGACGGCGACGGCGACGACGACGACGACGATACTGACGACACCGATGGCGACGACGACGACGACGACGACCACGACGACCACGACGACGTCGGCGACGACGACGACGACGACGCTCACGCCCACGCCGACGCCGACGCCGACGCCGACGCCGACGACGACGACGACGACGACGATGACGACAACGACGAAGACGGTGCCGCTCTGACGACGTCGACGACGACGACGACGACGCCGACCACGACGACCACGGCGACCATGACGGTGCCGCTCTGACGGCGACGACGACGACGACGACGACGACGACGACCACGACGGCGTCGGCGACGACGACGACGACGACGACGACCACGACGACGTCGGCGACGACGACGACGACGCCGACGACGACGACGAAAACGCCGACGACGACGACGACGACGACGACGACGACGGCGACGGCGACCGCGACGATGACGACGACGAGGACGGCCGCGACGTGGATTGCCGACGACGACGACTACGACTACGACGACGACTACGACGACGACGACGACGACGACGACGACGACGACGACGACGACGACGACGACGGCGACGGTGAAGACGCTGACGTCGAAGACCCCGTCGCCGATGGCGGCTGCCGCCGGCAGGCGCCAGCGTGCCCTTGGCCGCGCCCGCGCCGTCGCCGCAGATGGGCCTGGGCCGCCCCCGGCCGGGCGGCATCGTGCTGCTCGGGCGGAAGGCGGCGGCTCCGGTGCGGCATCGGCTTCGGCGTCGGTGTCGGCGAATCGCAGGGTCCCGTTGTCCTTGTCCACCTCGTCGTCCTCCACCATTTGCTTCTGGACGCCCGAAATGGGTACGGAAAGAATGGGTACAATGCCCAACAGCAGCTCCTGTTCATCTTGAACAGGACTCGCTGTCCGCGCCGCCGCGGCCTGTGTCCATTTGAGACAGAAGGCCGCCTGCCCAACAGCGGCCGCTGTTGGTTTGGGACAACATTTCGGGCGTCCAAATTGCTCATTTCCGTGCCCATTTCGGGCGTCCAAATTCTTCCGTGCCCATTTCGGGCGTCCAAATTGCTCACCTACAGTCAGCTCGCATAGGAAGGATGGACAACCTTCCCATGGGCACCCTTGCATCCCTGCTTCCTCGGGTCATCCTTGGCCACTGTCGTTGGCCGCGCCCCGCTCGACAAGCTTCGAGATGGGCGTCCAAGGCCCTTGCATCCTTCTCGCGCATCCTTTTGATACGGGCCGACTGTACCTCGTCCTCGAAGGCCCACGTCAAAAAACAGGAAGCGGCATACGCACAATTTCTCGGAGCTCCGCGTGGATTTCTCGGATCGGCGCTGTCACCCCCCCCCCGCCCCTGGCAGCGCCGCCCCTGGCGCCATCCGCGCACCAGGGACGGGAACCCGGCGCCGATCTACAAAATCCGCGCGGAGCCAGAAAAGTTTATGTCTTTGCTGCAGCTCTGCCGTGTGAAGGTCCCCGATCCCCAAGGATGTGTCGGGGGTGGACAGAACCCCCAACAGTGACACGTCGATCAGTGAATTGTCCGTTTTCGGCTCTCGAGAGGGCGCCGCGGCCGTTGTTTTCCAGGCTTGCGCCCGCCAGGTTTGGGCCTCAGGTGGTTTTCACTAAACCACGTTTTACTAAAGGGGGGTCTGTCCATCCCCGAGTGTCCCCCTACAGGGGGATTTCCGATGCAAAAGTAAACATACTCCAAAAATGCGCCAAAAAGGTCAAAACAACATTCAAAACATAGTCCCCAGGCTATTGTTGCATCATTGTTTAAGCATGTTTGGGGTATTTTCATTTTTCGTCGACTGGTTTTACTAAAGGGGGGTCTGTCCATCCCCGAATGTTTGGTGCTGCTCGCTCTCGGCCCCTCGGCCCCGCGAGCGGGCCCCGCGGGGCCCTCCGAACCGGGCCCGGGGCGGAGAGTGGTCGGCTCCTGGGAAAGGGGTCGGGCCTCCTGGGGGCCGCGCGCTGGGGACAAGAGCAGGTCGTCGGATGCCCGGCGCTCGGGGGCCCACGTCAGGTGCCCGACGTGCTGGCTCGTCCTGCCCCCCAGAGCAGAAATCTGGGGGACGGGGAGCAAGCACGAGTATGCAGTTGGAGGGGGGGTCCTGGACCCCCCACGAGACTGGCCGATTGAGATGGGAGGGAGGTGCTCCTCCTCCTCCTCCTCCTCCTCCTCCTCCTCCTCCTCCTCCTCCCCTCCTCCTCCTCCTCTCCTCCTCCTCCTCCTCCTCCTCCTCCATCTCCTCCTCCTCCTCCTCCTCCTCCTCCTCCTCCTCCTCCTCCTCCTCCTTCTCCCCCTCCCCCTCCTCCTCCTCCTCCTCCTCCTCTCCTCCTCCTCCTCCTCCTCCTCCTCCTCCTCCTCCTCCTCCTCCTCCTCCTACTTTTCTTCCCCCCTCTCCCCCTCCCCATCATCCTGGAGGAACAGAAAGATACCCATAATGACCGCGGTCTCAATAACCTCTGCTGGGGCGCGTTCTGACCAGGATGTCGAGGCGAATCCAGCCGTGGCGACGAGGGACGGGCATCGGCATCGGCGTGAACCCGGACATGCGATGTCTTGATTGTTTCGGTACGGGCCCCAACAAGTCCCGACTTTTTCTTTTCGACCGGCTTGTCATCCTGAGTCGTTTCTTGACAGTCCTGGGGCCCGGCGAGGACCCCTGGAGGCTGAAAATGGCAAAACGAATGCCGTGTTGACGTTCCCCCATAGGATGGGGCTATTGTCATTATCTCGACGCCTCCCTTCTCCTCCTCCTCCTCCTCATCATCATCATCCCGCTCGTCTTCCTCCCTCACACTCAGACTCACTCACACTCAGACTGACGAGCCCAGCGGACGAGGATGTCTCGGGCAAGGCGGCGGTTTCAGCACTCCCAGGGGACAGCCGCCAGGGAATATATCACGAGCACGTTCGCGCCCAGGCTGTGGGGATATCTCAGGGGGGTTGCTTGTCTGGGTGGCCAGACTCGCCTCTGTTCAGAGCAGACTGTGAGGATGTCTCAGGCGAGGCGGCGGTTTCGGCACTGCCCAGGGGCGTTGCCAGGTGGTATATCACGAGCAGGTTCGCGCCCAGGCTGTGAGGATATCTCAGGGGGGTTGCTTGTCTGGGTGGCCAGACTCGCCTCTGTTCAGAGCAGACTGTGAGGATGTCTCAGACGAGGCGGCGGTTTCGGCACTACCAAGGGGGGGTCGCCAGGAGGTATATCACGAGCACGTTCGCGCCCAGGCTGCGGGGATATCTCAGGGGGGTTGCTTGTCTGGGTGGCCAGACTCGCCTCTGTTCAGAGCAGACTGAGGATGTCTCAGGCGAGGCGGCGGTTTCGGCACTGCCAAGGGGGGGTCGCCAGGGAAAAAATCACGAGCACGTTCGCGCCCAGGCTGTGGGGATATCTCAGGGGGGTTGCTTGTCTGGGTGGCCAGACTCGCCTGCGTTCAGAGCAGATTGTGAGGATGTCTCAGGCGAGGCGGCGGTTTCGGCACTGCCCAGGGGCGGCCGCCAGGGGGTACATCACGAGCACGTTCGCGCCCAGGCTGTGGGGATATCTCAGGGGGGGTGCTTGTTTGGGTGGCCAGACTCGCCTGCGTTCAGAGCAGATTGCGAGGATGTCTCAGACGAGGCGGCGGTTTCGGCACTGCCAAGGGGGAGCCGCCAGGAGGTATATCATGGGCCCGTTCGCGCCCAGGTTGAGGGGATATCTCACGGGGGTTTGCCTGTTTTGGTGGTCAGACTCGTTTGCGATCAGCCCAGATTGTGAGGAGATCTCAGGCGAGGCGCTGACTTCAGCACCCCAAGGGGGGGCGGCCAGGGGGTAGATCACGGGCCGGTTCGCGCCCAGGTTGTGGGGATGTCTCAGGCGATGTGCTTATTTTGGTGGCCAGACTCGTCCGCGTTCAGAGCAGATTGTGAGGATATCTCAGGCGATGCGCTGACCATCGCGTTCGTCCTCTCCCCTTTCCTTGCCATTCTCATCCTCCTGCTCTCCCCTCTCGATGTTCCTGGAGAGGCCTTGGGGATCATGTGGCGTCCTCCTCCTCCTCCTCCTCCTCCTCCTCCTCCTCCTCCTCCTCCTCCTCCTCCTCCTCCTCCTCCTCCTCCTCCTCCTCCCTGTTGTCCTCCGCACCAGCTGCGTGAGCCGACTTGCTGCCCCGCCCTTTGCTCCCCCCCCCGTTCGTCCCGTGCGATTCTCGTGTCCGAATCCATAGTTTTTAGGCGCAGATGCCCCGCGCGGAGGAGGAGGAGGAGGTGGAGGAGGAGGAGGAGGAGGGAGGAGGAGGAGGAGGAGGAGGAGAGAGGGGGAGGGGAGGAGGAGGAGGAGGAGGAGGAGGAGGAGGAGGAGGAGGAAGAAGAGGAGGAGGAGAAGGAGTAGGAGGAGGAGGAGTAGCATCCATGGGATCGCATATCCATGGAGTCGCGCCCCGGTAGCCAGACCGCGAGGACACGGATGCAGACATGGTGTTTGTCGTTCGCGATGGTCGTGGAGGGGACGGAGGAGGGACATGGGGTCGGCGGCTCCCAGCCAGTTGCTTCGACTCTCCATCGGGGCTCCGGGCCTTTGGGACCTCTCCCCAACGGCCCCAGAGCCGCCCCGGACTGCTCCTAGACAGGCAAAGAGAGCCTCAAGAGGCTCCCCATGAAGATCCAAGAGCGCCCGGAATCGCTGACAGGTGCGCCCCATACGCACCAGATGACATCTTGACGGCCCAGCAGGCCTCCAAGACTCCCCAGTATGCCTTCAAGAGCGCTCCCACGAGAGTCCCAGGAACCAAAACGCCGTGATTTGTCTCAGTTTTAGAATTATGTGTTCGGCCGTATATATATATATACATATAGAGAGAGATGATAGAAGTATCACAATTCTGCCTGTCTGGCTTCTCCACTGTCTGAGACGGCTCAGGAGGCCCCCGAGGTCGCCCTAGGATCGCCTCAGACGCCCCTGACGGTGTCAATGCAGCCATTGGGGGCTTCAAAACGGCCCCCGAGGCGCCTCAGACGGCCCAGGAGAGACCCCAGAGACCCCAGACACGCTCCAAGGACGCCTTCGGTCGCTGTGAGAAGCGCTCAACGCGCCCCAGATGGCCTCCCCACGGCTCATATGGCCTCCAAGACGGCCCAAGATGGTTTTTTGTTACCCAAACAAGCAACATCCATTTCTGTGTTCATGAGTTTCTGAAGGATTTTCCACTATTCTGCCTTCCGGCTTCTCCACGCCCTACGACGGCCCCAGAGGCCATCAAGAGCACCCCACGACCGCCTCGGACGCCCCCAAAGAGGTGCCAACACAGCCCCCAGAGGCCCCCAAGATGGCACACGAGGCGCTCCAGAGGCATCCAAGCATGCCCAACAACGGCCCAAGAGAACTCCCAGAGGCCCCCAAGGCGATGCGAGAACGGTCCGAATCGTGACAGAGGCGCTCCACACGCCCCGCAGACCGCCTCAGACGCTCCCACGAAGGTGCCAACGCAGCCCCCAGAGGCCCCGAGACGGCCCTCGAGGCCTACTGGGCCCCAGGAGTGGCCTTCCTGAGGCCCCGTCGAGTGTGCTTGTGTGTGTTTGTGTGTGTGTGTGTGTTTGTGTGTGTGGTTGTGTGTGCATGTGTATGTGTATGTGTATGCGTGTGCGTGTGTGTGTGTGTTTGTGTGAGTGTGTGTGTGTGTGTGTGTGTGATCGTGTGTGAGTGTGTGCGTGTGTGACTGTGTGTGTTGTGTGTTTGTGTGTGTGTTTGCGTGTTTGTGTGTGTGTTTGTGTGTGTGTGTGTTTGTGTGTGGTTGTATATTCGAGTGTGTGTGTGTGTTTGAGTGTGTGTTTGCGTGTGCGTGTGCGTGTGCGTGCGCGTGTCCGCGTGTTCGCGTGTGCGCGTGTGCGCGTGCGCGCGTTTGCGCGTGTGCGCGCGGGCGCGTGTGCGCGTGTGCTTCTGTGCTGGTGTGGGTGCTGAAATACAACCAACCCGTGGAGACGGGAAAGAGAATAGCCAGGCGCGAGCAGCGCAGGAATCGACACCTCTCCTGGCTCGCGGAGAGGAAGGCATTGATCCCCAACAGGGGTCGTCCCAAACGGTGTTTGGGCGATGTCGTGGGTCGCGTTCGGTTCGAAGTCGTTCTGCAGCAAAGGCGGATTGGAGACAAAAGACAAAACAAGGGAGAACGAACAAAAAAACGAAAAACGAAAAACACTGTTTTGGTCGGGCCCTGACCCCCAATCGCCCTTTCCTCGCCGATTGGGGCTGGAGGCCAGGGCCTGCACACAGGAGCTTACGGTTCCACGCGGCGTCCTGCCGTCGAGGGGCGACTTCTGCGCCGAGGCGTCGGCGACTTGTCTCGTTGGTTGCTTCGGGTCAGAACTTCTCCGCCCGACCGGTGCCCCCTCCTCGTCCTCCTCCTCCTCCTCATCCTCCTCCTGCTCCTCCCCCTCCTCATGTGGCCTTAGTGGTGATTGGATGGACTTCGTCCTGGCACTCCTTACTCCTGACTCCACCTCCTGCTCCTCCTCCTGCTCCTCCTCCTCCTCCTCCTGCTCCTCCTCCCCCTCATCCTCCTCATCCTCCTCCTGCTCCTCCCCCTCCTCCTCCTGCTCCTCCTCCTCCTCTTCTTCTCCTCCTCCGCCTTCTTCTCTCCTCCACCTTCTCCTCCTCCTCCTCCTCCTCCTCCTCCTCCTCCTCCTCCTCCTCCTCTGATCCACCCAAGCCCCGAAGCTTTCCGTTCTACCGCGTTCTATGTTCAGCTTTATCGTCTGGCCCACCAAGAGAGTAAGGCCCACCCAATCCCATTTTCTCAGGAGGCCGCCCAAAGCCAGGCGAGAGCTGCCCTCCAAGCAGTCGACCTTCCCCTCGGCAAATCAGGCCGCAGGCGGCCACGTCGGCTCTAGTTCGGTATGAAGACGCTGGCCCCCCCAGACGCTCCAACCTCCTCCTCCTCCTCCTCCTCCTCCTCCTCCTCCTCCTCCTCATCCTCCTCTTCCCTCGGGAGGGGGAGCCGCAGGGGGGGGAACGGGGGTTCGCAGGAGGGAGGGTCGCAGGGGGGAGGGCGGGGAGGCGGGCGCAAGGAGGAGAGGAGGAGAGGAGGAGGAGGAGGAGGAGGAGGAGGAGGAGGAGGAGGAGGAGGAGGAGCGGGAGCAGGAGGCGCAGGAGGAGGAGGAGGAGGAGGGAGGAAGGAGGGAGGGAGGAGGAAGGGAGGAGGAAGAGGATGACCAGTGGAAACCCAAGGTGTATTAACGATGTTGGAATAACATCCTCCCTCCAAGCTCCCTCGTCACAGGCCCCTACAAGGAGTCATTTCCACTGATGTAAGTGCCCCGTTATTTCGAGGACTCCAACGCCACAAATCAACGTGTCTGTTGTGTCTTGATTGTCGGGAATCGTGCTCGAACGACATTCTTGGGACTTCAGCACCGCAAATCAACATAACTGCTGCGGCCTTGCAATCCTGAGCCGCTCCAAAATACCATGTCTGATTGGGAGCCCGTGGAACTCTTGCGAATATTTAGGACGAGTGCGCGCGGCGCTAAGGCGAGAACCACACTGTGCAAGACAAAACGGCGTCAATCCGCGGGCTGCGCTCGGGCGGGAGCCACATGTTGAAAACCACCGGCCCTGACTCCGTGAGGGAGGGAGCGAGGAAGGAAGAGGAGGGAGGAGGAAGGAGGAGGAGGAATCGCAGGGGGGGGGCGAACGCCAGGAGGAGAGGAGAGGGCCGAGGGGCGGCAACAGCGGGCCCTGGACCGCGCCGGGTAGGCGGTCCACGCGCAGTGCTACCTCCAGGACGGGGGGCGTCGGACGCCAGCGACAACGGCGTCGACCGCGAGGCCGGTGACGACGCCGACGCCGATGTTGACGACAAGGCCAACGACGACGACGACGACGACGACGACGACGACGATAAGGCCGACGACGAGGCCGACGACGACGACGATGACGACGACGACGATGGAGACAAGGCCGCGGACGAAGCCGACGACGAGGACGACGAGGTCGACAACGACGACGACGACGATGAGGTTGAGGAGGAAAGCGAGGAGGGGGAGGCGAAGGAGGAGGAGGAGGAGGAGCGTGGGAAACGGGGAGGGGGCAGGGGAGGAGGGGGCTAGAGCTGAGGAGGAGGATGGGGAGGCGGTGGAGGAAGAGAAGGAGCGGGAGCATGCATGAAGACGTGGGTGATGATGGAGGAAGAGGGGGAAGAGGTGTCAGCGGCTGAGGAGTAGATGGACCAGAAAGGGGACGAGGACGAGGACAAGGACGAGGATGGGAGGGAGGAGGAGGAAGAAGACGGGTAAGGGAAGGAGGGGGAGGAAGAGGAGGAGGAAGCAGAAAAACAAAAATAAGAAGAAGGAGAAGAAGATGAGGAGAAGTGGCGGCGGAGCAGTGGAAGGACCAGCGGAAGCGGGAAAGAGGAATAGGGGGAGAGGGAGGGTGAGAGAAATGCCAGTGTTCTCTATATCTCTCTCCCCCTCTCTCTGTCTCGCTTTCCACGTTGTCTTTTGTGTTTCTCTCTCTCTCTCTCTCTCTCTCTCTCTCTCTCTCTCTCTTTCTTTATTATTATCTCTCTCTTTCTCTCTCTCCCTGTATCGTACATACATATATACACATACATACATAGGCTAGCACGCGTAGACCCCAAACAGTGTTTCTAGCAGTATGCGTTGTGCAGGCGTTGTGCACCCGATGGTGTGTGATACGTGTTGCGCAACGGTTGCTCTACATGTGGTGCCGTCAATATATGGTGTCCAATATGAGCGGTGCAGCTAATGTGATGCAATCGATGTAGTGCGCTGCGTATGTGGTGCAGCCGACGTGACGCGAAATATATGGTACAATATATGAGGTGCACTGTCTACGTGGTGCATCCGACGTTGTGCAGCCGACGTGGTGCAATTCACTTGCCGAACTTGAAGTTGTCAACCCCACTGCTCGCGCAATCCTCCCACCCACCCACACGCAATTTGGTTTGCAAAACCCATGCGGGAGCGATTGCGATGAATGCTGGGTGTTGGCTGGTGCATATGTGTGGCCGCGCGAGCGACGCGAACGCGGTGGCGCTGACCGCTCGGCACATCCCAGCGGGCACTTCATTGCGAGTCGGCGATTTGGGCGGGCGCGGTAACATGGCAAAACCGATTACGGTAGACACGATGATGATAGTAGCGCTGCTGGCGAAGATGTTGACAGCGACGACGGGGCAGCCAGTGACGGCGCCGATGCTGACCATGCCGACGACGAGGACGGCGTCTTCGCGTCGTTGGCGAAAGTTGTGGAAGGAATTCGAAATGCGCGCGCGGCAGACGCGCGAGAGTGGCCTGCTTGGTATGATTTGACACGGATCGTGCCACCCCAGCACGCGCACAAGGGCGTCGAACGATTGCGACATGCATGTGCGCGAAGCCCGTTTGGTAGCATGCTATGAAAATGTTGAATGATAAAACGTATGGGTTTCTCAAGAATTCGCAAGAGCGCGGGCGCACGTTTTTGTTGAACATCCGTGTTGCGGAACCGTATGTTTTAATATTTGTTCGGACACTCGATTTTTGAAATTGTTCCGAAAGCGAGAGTGTTTGAAAGATTCCGGCATGCGCGCGCGACGGCGCGCGCACATTTCTTCCCGTTTATTGCAGGGGGTTCTTGAAAATTGATGATGTTTGATACACGGGTGTGCGCGCATAGTTTTCTTGTGCAAGGGAACCTAGGGGGTGTCGATACTGGCCTGGCTGGGATAGTATGAACTCACATGAAGGACGGACATTGGGTAGGAATCGTATATGTTTTGCATCCGCCCCCGGAGAGGCGATAAGTCCGGGGGGAGGGTGGTAGAACCTATTTCTTTATTAGAAAGGAGAATCGGCGTGTTGTAGTATACGTGGTGCAATTCACTTGCCGAACTTGAAGTTGTCAATTCCACTGCTCGCGCAATCCTCCCAACCACCCACCCACCCGCAACTTGGATTGCAAAACCCATGCGGGAACGATTGCGATGAATGCTGGATGTTGGCTGGTGCATCTCTGTGGCCGCGCTAGCCCGCGAACGCTTGCGCGCGCAGCGGCGAGCTAGTTTGGCGCGACCGACGCGAACGCGGTGGCGCTGACCGCTCGGCACATTCCAGCGGGCATTGCAGTTCGAGTCGGCGACTTGGGCGGGCGCGGTATCATGGTAACGTTGACAACGGTAGACACGTTGATGATAGTAGTGATGTCGGCGGCGATGCTGACAGCGACGACGGGGCAGCCAGCGACGGCGCCGATGCTGACCATGCCGACGACGATGACGGCGTCTCCGCGTCGGTGGTGGAGGTTTCGGAAGGAATTTGAAATTCGCGCGCAGCTGACGCGCGAGAGCGGCTCGCATTGTATGACACGGCTCGTGCCACCCCAGCACGCGCGCAAGGGCTTTCGAACGAATTCGACATGCGCGCGTGGAGCCCGTTTGGTAGCATGTTATGCAAGAGCGCGGGCGCACGCTTCTGTTGAAAATCAGTGTTACGAAACCGTTTTTAAATGTTTTGGAACATTCGATTTTGAAATTCTTCCGAAATCAACGGTTTTTGAAAGGTTTTCGGCATGCGCGCGCAACGACGCGCGCGTGCGCACTTCGCCCCATTTGTTGCAAGGAATTCTTGAAAATTTATGATTTGTGATAAACGAGTACGCGTGCGTAATATTTTCTGGCAAGGGAACCGAGGGGTACCGATACCGGCTTGACTGGGATAGTATGAATTCACACGAAGGATGGACAGTGGGTCAGAATCATGTGTGTTTTGCATCCGTCCCCGGGGAGTCGATCAGTCCGGGGGGGGGGGGGTAGAACCGATTTCCTCCTTCAGGAAAGAGAATCGATGCGGAGCAGTCGACGAGGGGCAACTTACGTGCTGCAAAATATGTCTCGCAAACGTGTGAAAGTCTCACGGCCGGCGCCGCCGACCCTGAAGGCGGGACCTCCGCTGAGACGCCACCCCCACGACCCGCCGGGCCCGTCTAGGGGGGCGCCACCAAAGGCGAGAGCTCCCCCGGGGACCCCCCCCGGCGCATCCCCTGAAGGGGGTGGTCCCCGCGTCCCCCGGGACCCGCCATAACCCTCGGGGGGGGCGGCGATCTGACCCGGGACCCCCCCCCGACCCCCTCCCCTGACCTTCACCCTTGCCCTTCCCTCGTGCCCCCCCCCGCCCTAGTCACGGAGGGGAGCAAGAGGAGAGAACCGATGTAAGTACGACGCTTGTTTCCTCTGCTCGTCCCTCTTTCTCCTGGTACTGACGACGACGACGACGAAGACGACGACGACGACGACAGCGTCTCACACACGCCGAAGGGTCGGCGGATTTGTGTAGCCGATGGAGCGCCATCTACGTGATGCAAGGTACGTTGTGCAATCCATGTTATGAAACATACGTTGTGCAACTCACCCTGCCGAGATTGAAGTTGACAGTTCCATTGTTCGCACAATCATCCCACTCACCCACCCACCCGCAACTCGGCTTTCAAACTCTGGTGGAGGCGATTGCGGTGAATGGTTTGCTCTGGATGGCGTATCGTTGCGGCCACGCTAGCGCACGCAGGCTCGCGCGCAGAGCGGCCAGCTAGTCTGGCTCGACCGACGAGGCCGCTGTGGCGCTGATCGTTGGGAACCTCCCAGCGCGTCTCGCAGGCCGCACTACAGTGCGGGCTCTTCACTGCGAGTCGGTGATTCGGATGGGGGCGGTATCATGGCGACGTCGACAACGGTAGACACGATGATAGTAGCGATGTTGGGGACGAGGGCGATGATGACGACGGCAAGGGCAATGACGGCACCGATGCTGTTCACGCCGATGACGATGATGGTGTCCATGCGCAGGTGGTGAGAGTTTTGGAAGAATTTAGACATGCGCGCGCGGCCGACGGGGGCGAGCAGCCCGCATTGTATTATTTGGCAGGAGCCGTCCCGCACCAGCTCACGCGCGAGGGTGTTTGAATGATTTTGACACGTGCGCGTCAGAGGCTTTCTTTGTCGATGAAAATGGTTGAAGGCCAGCGGCTGTCCTAAGTATTCGCAGGAATGCGCGCGCAGACTTCTGTTACGACCCACGTTGCAAAGCCGTCGGTTGCTTCGTTTGAAAGATATGTTTGGGACTTTCGACTTTGAGTTCCTCACGAAATCATCGGTTTCGAAGGGTTGCGGCACGCGCGCGCGACAACGTGCGCGTGTGAAGGCTGTCCCGTATTTCGCATGGAAGACTTGGAAAGTCGTTGGTTGTATAAGACGGGTGCGCGCGCATGCTTCCATCTGACTGGCATGTCGGGGCGAGTCGATATCACCCTGGTTGGGACGAAAATGAACGAGAGGGCATTTCATGTATAAGATGACATAGAAAAGAGCGAACGGATACTCCCGGAGGGTGGTACAATCGATTGTCCTCAAAGGATGTGAAAATCTAGGCGGCGTCGAGGCGGCGACGGCGAGCACGAAGCCACCAGATTGCCAGCCAGGCCAGACGACGGGCGGCGACGAGGCGGCAACGGGGCAGCGACGGCAAGCACGGAGCCGCCACACCACAAGCCAGGCACACTTCGTTAGAAAAGAAGCATGGACCCTTAAGTGCAATAACCCTTCTTCTTCTTCCGCCCTGCCTCTCCTCTTCCTCCTCCTCCTCCTCCTCCTCCTCCTCCGACGACGACGACGACGACGACGACGACGACGACGAGCGACGCCAAACGACGAACGACGACGACGTCCTCCTCCTCCTCCTCCTTTTTCTCCTCCTCCTCCTCCTCATCCTCCTCCTTATCCTCCTCCTCCT